AAAGTTTAATAAGAAAAAAGATTTTCAAAATTTAGAAAAATAACTATTATTCTAAAACAAATTTTAACACAAAAATTTTAATCCAAAAAACATATGTCATGGAGGGAGTATTAAATAATGGTGATGACGTGATTTAAGATGCACTAAATCCTTAAATAGAGAGCTTTCAATGTTCGAAAGTTTTATTTAAAAAATTAAAAAATAACAACTTAATTTTTAAAAAAATTATATATTTAAATAAAAAATAAAATTTATATTTTTATTTGTATTAAAGATAATATAGTAGAAATATAATCTATAAGACAAAACCATACGTTAAATCTCCAAACTTATCTTAGATTCTTGATTAAACCCCTATGTTTTTATTAAAACAAATAAACTTTTAAACTTAGTAATTTAAGTAATATAACTATTTTTTTACAACAGATTTGATACTCGTTTGTGTTTTATTTACATGAATAAAGTTAATACTTATAACATAAATAATGAAATATAAATACCTTATGTATATAAATGAGGCACAAATATACATTAAGTTTTCTGTAAAAAAAAGAGAATAAAATTACTTAAATTATCAAATTTAAGAATTTATTTACTTCAATAAAAAAATTAAAAATCTAAGCTAAATTCAAAAGCTTAACGTATGGTTTACCAATCTACAAAGGAGGGTGAGAGTTATTTTGAAATGGAGAAAATATAAAAAATGCACTCCTATGTATATTGGCACAAATTAAAAAAATCTCTAATAAAAATACTATACTCTAAAAAAACTCTTTAAATAAGGAAAATCCAGTAAAATTTAGTTACAAACATATTGCAAAAAAAATCGAAAATACATAATTCTCCTACTATAAAATAAGAAAAAATAAATAAATTTAAAATATCAGAACGGTGTAATAACATTTATATGATTGATTTGATAAAATTAAGTTTAACGGTTTGTCTTATTTAGTTCAATGGCTAATTAAACGACGGTAAGAAGTCGTGATTTTTCCTTTTTTCTATAAAATAAAATGACAAAATATACTTCACAGAACAACTTCTGCACTCTCCAAATCCTTAATATATTTTATTTTGAAAATTTGACAATTAATTAATTTTTCGTTCAACAACCACAACCGCCGTCACCGCCACAACCACCACCACCGCCGCCGCCACAAGCAGCCACACCACCACCACCGCCAGCATCAACGCCGCCATCACCACCAGCATCATCAACGCCGGTAATAGTGCTCTTGCACAATGTATTGGTAAAAAGAAAAGTGAACCAAAAATAGATTTCTCTTTCTTTTTTCTCCTTCGTAATTGCTTAATCGGCCTCTAGGGCCAATTGTTTGTGCGCCTAAGTTCCTCAGTGATGAGCTTAGTTCAGATCGTTCCTGTAACAAATTTCCATCCCAAATTTCCCATGTTACAAAAAGAGAACAAATTTTCTTTACTAACTTGACATTTCTAGAAACTTACGAAATTGTCAAAATATGATACTTAAAGTTGACTTATTGGGCCTAAAATTAAGTAGTAGTGTTAAATTTTGGGTCTTAAAGAAATAAGTATTAGGTATTTTTAAAATTAATTTACTGGGTTCAACTTTTTAATTCTAATAATAAGTAGATTTTATCTTTTTTTCAAAAAAATAATCTCTAATTATTTTTAAAAAAATATTTTATAGATTAAATTATGTCAAATAATAAAATGCTAACCATTAGGTGAATGAACCTTTTTTTAAAACCATGAGCTATTAATTTAATAAATTATATTTTATAATCTAATATAATTTAAATAATAAAACACCGAAACTCTTTACTTTTTAAACATGTTAGTAATAGTATTATAGTAAACCCATACGCGGTCATTTTATTTTGATTCAGTCAACTAACTTCTGGCCCACAGTGGTTTCCCCCCGGTCTCACAACAAGGAAACCCAGCCTAATAACTAATAAGCAATAAGCCCACTCTTTTTAAGCCCAGAATAAGGCCAGCAAAATTAAGTATAATTCTTTAATCATCATACTACAAAATATAAAAGAAAAGCCAAAGAATCATGAAAAGAGAAAGCATACCGATTAATGGGGAAAGAATTTTGAATTAAAACAGTGAGTTTAAGATGCCAGATATTTTCCCACCTCAAGAAAAGTATAATTCTTTAATCATACTACAAAATATAAAAGAAAAGCCAAAGAATCATGAAAAGAGAAAGCATACCGATTAATGGGGAAAGAATTTTGAATTAAAACAGTGTGTTTAGATGCCAGATATTTTCCCACCTCAAGAAAAGTAGAATCCCTAATCATACTACAAAATGTAAAAGAAAAGACAACAACAAACATGAAATTAAGAGAAAGCCATACTGAATAATGGGGAAAGAATTTAGCATTAGAAAGTGTGAAAGAAAAGAATAGAATAGCATATCTACCTTGCTTTAATTTACCCTTCACACTACTATAATATATCTGTTTATCTCAGCTGAGTCTTCACACAAATACAATCTCCTTCTGTCTCCCAAAAGAATTCTCTCATATTGGCTATCTTTCTGTGTGACTACTAAAACTTACAGATCTGGTTGGTAATTCTTTTTCTCATTTCATATCTTTGGTTTCAAAGCTTTCACAAAATTTTCACTAACACAATATATCTCTTTTTATCTCTCAGAATTCTCTGGTCTTGTATTTGCTATCCTCCTGTGCAGCTAGCCGTTCAGATCTGGTAAGTGACCAAGTCTTTCGCTTATTTCTTATTGGCTTTTGTTTCAAAGTCTTGACGAATTTCTTGAGTTTAAACCATAAGTGTTGCAGCCCAGCTTGTGATACATCAATAAGTAGATGTTATAGACCAGTAATTGATATCATGATCCAAACACCAGTATGTAGATGTGTTATAGACTTATTAATACATAACCCTATTCAGTTTTGTGGTTAAAGAAAATCAGGATGTTCTAGACAATTAAAATTTCAAGGGCTAATAATAAAAAGATTAAAATATTATTAATGAATGAATACACTAAAAATATTCACTAAAAGCAATTTAAACAATTTCACATAAATCCTAACATTTAAAAGTGTCAAAACATTCCGATTTTTACTTTTCTTATTTTAGTGTAGTCCATTAATTAAATCCATGGCTAATAGTCAGATGAACATACTAGGCAGATTTTTGCAGAACCAATTCCAGCAGAAGGCATAGACACGACTAAGATAGTTAAATCAGGCGCTTTACTTCACAAATATGCCATAGAATCATTATAGAGATCACAACAAGCTTTTAGACAGAGCCATCTAACCATGAAGTAACTTTAAACTGAGATCAGCAGAGTAGTTGGGTTGGTAAGTTTGCAAAGGTGCTCCGGCTGAATTCCAGCCTAACTCTGCAGTTTCTGACAACTTAAAAATTTCAAGAAAAATTCCAGAAATTTTTCTAAAAATAGGAAACAGACCCTGAGCCTAAACCAAGCTCAACAGAATGCTTTTACGCGATAATTTCAAAATTTCCTTTTTGGATAAAATGTAAATCTTTATTTATCCAGAAAAATACTAGAGTACATCAAAGCGGCAAAAATAACAGCTGCTACTAGCTACACAAACACAACGTAAAAACTAATCGTGTCAAAAACTAACCTGATCAAAAGTGAGGTATTTAGCTGTCCAGGAAGTCAGCTTGTTAGTATTTTTTCAATCAATGGCCGCAGATCCTTACATGTGAGCTTTCCTGTAATAACAGGCACTCCAAGGTACCTTACTGGCAAGGTACTGAGCTTAAAACCAAATCTGTCAACCAGCTGCTGTATTTCTGTCACTGATAGCCCACAGCAGAAAATTTCTGATTTGTTGTAATTAACCATCAAACCAGAAATCTGATAAAAATGGCCTAAAACATCAACAACAGCTTTAATAGATGGTAGACTACCATTAGTAAAGATTACTAGATCATCAGCAAATCAAAGATATATGAGTTTAATCTTTTCACACTTGGGATGATGAGAGATTCTGCATCCTAGATAAAACTTCCATGCAGACCACAAACAAATAGGGTGAAAGGGGATCCCCTTGTGGAATACCCTTTTGTCCAGAAAAAATATCCACATAAATTCACATTGAAAAATATTCACAATTTCATGTCCAAATCAAGGTATTCTCAATGCGCGGTAAGAATTGAATGAAACTCAGAATAAATTCACAACAAATTCAAGAGCAAACTCAGATTCCCATTTAATATTAAGGTATAATATACATAAAATAAATCAAAACAAGATGATACCTTGTCCGCAGTAACCTTCGGATTCCGAAAACAAAACTCGGACTTTCTATTTGCTCTTGGTTCCTCTAACCCGAACTCACAATGATCTCCTAGATTCTTCGCTCTCCTCTTTGCCTCCCTCTTTTTTTTTTTTGCGCTCCCTCTCCTCTCCTGAAATCCCTCTCCCTTTTATAGGCCAAATCGGAGTAAGGACACACAGAGCCCTAGCCATCCGGTTACTTTCCCTCGATCTCAGCCGCTTCTCAGCTGGCCTTGCCGCCCACCTTCACCACCATAGATTCCCTGCAGCCTACAAGTAGCTACAAGCTTGTGACCTGATGGGATCGACGGGATCCCGACCTGATGGGAAGAAATGGATTAGGGGAGGAGAGGGAGGAATCGGTCAGATTCCCCGACCTACTTTCTGCGATCCCGAGTCCTACGCCTTTCGTTTTTCTTAGTAGGTTTCGACCAAAACGACGTAGTCGTGGCCGACTTTTGCAGTTAAATCTTCAAGTTCCACTGTATGACGTTTTAGTCCTTCAATTTGTTTCGTTTCTCAAGTAGGTCCCTACAAACAAATCCTCTATTTTTTTTTTTGAACTAACAAATCCTCTATTAAAATATTTTCAGTTGAGTACATACCGTCAATAAATTCGATTAAGCCTCCATTTCTTTTTGGCAATTTTTCATATTAATTCCCCACATTAATTTTTATTTTTGTCCAACAATTCCCCATATTAAATGCAAGTTTAACCACGTATAATTTTTCGTTTTAAACTTAAAAAGCAGTGAGGAATTAATTTTGGGTGTAAAAACCAGTACATTTTGAAAATATTTGAATTGAGCAAATATTCATCGAGATTATTACTAAATTCTAGAAAAATGGAGACAAAAATTTTAGGTAAAAATTTGAGTTATAACAACTTATACTTCATGTTTTATTAATTTTTCTTGCAATTTCATTTTTTAAGTTATTCTTTCACATATTATTATTATATTTATTTATCTACTCTACATTCATCTTTATTTTCTCTTTATATTTAATAATTTATTTGTTATTATTCTTTCTACCTTTATCCTTATTTTCTCAATATTATTCTTTTTTAATCATTTCCTGCATCTTTATTAATAATTATATATCATTCTCTCTCTCTGTATGTAATATTAAAATTATTTAAACTTTTGTCTTAATGAGTTTCTTAAAAGCTTGTAAGGGATTTTAGTTTGCTGTTTTTATAATTTTTTGATAGTTTAAATTTTCAATAAAGAGAATGTTAAAACATTTTAAAGTTCCTTGTAGAAGCTTTTTCTTTATTTTTAAGTTTCTTTTAAGTACTCATATTTTCGGCTTATATTTAAGTAGTTTGTTTAAAACTCATTATATAATTTTCAAATTAGTTTTTCAAGTTAATATAGTCATTGTCAAGTATTTAAACATCGATTTTATGTATTAGAGTATGTAACTATTCATAATTCTTGATATTTAAAAATTATTTTTAAGAAATGCATTTATTCAAAATTAATTACAATTTAATCATTATTCTTCTAGTCCCATAATAATTGTGAAAAGGAATCAAACTACAAAATGCCACTTTAAAATGATATAATGTGAAGGAATGACAAAATTACAAAATGTTGTTCCTCACTCCTTTTCTGACACTTGATGATGTTCCTTTTCAACACCTTGTAACAAGCTTTAAACTCCAAGCCATAATGTGAAAAGGCAGCTGTGGTTTTGTTGTTTTTATTTAAAATAGGTAGCAGTTGGTATTAGGATCATGTCATTTTCTTGTATCATAATTTCATTTGTGCACCTGCAGCTAGGATTTCTCAACGCCAGAATAGAATGGCAGAAACGATCCTCAGTCCTGTTATTGATGAGGCAATTTCCAAGGCAATTTCCTTTGCAACTAAACAAATTTGCCTTGCGTGGGGTTTCGAGAAAGAGGTTGTGAGCCTCAAGGAGTCGCTAGTTATGATTCAAGATGTTCTCCAAGATGCGGAGAATAAACAAGAAGGTGATGCTACTATAAGGCATTGGTTGCAGAAGCTCAACAATGTAGCCTATGATGCAATGGATATATTGGATGAGTATGCCTATCATTTGCTCCAGCTGAAAGTGGAGACTCAAGGCCAAAAGATGAAACAGATGTATCGGTTCTTTTCTCACTCTAATCCAATCGTGTTTCGTTGCAAAATGGCTAATAAGATTAAGAAAATTAATGAGTCTCTAGCTAAAATAAAAGGAGATGCAGTGTTTCCTATGTTAAATAAAGGCACACCAACTCTGCGTGTTAGTACCATCCCCGAAACAGATTCCTTCCTTGATTCAAACCCAATAGGAAGGAGTGATGATGTTTCTGAAATAATAAGCCAGCTAAGTAAACTTAGGAGTCAGCATTCCATGTTTGTTGCTTCTATAGTAGGCATGGCTGGCATTGGAAAGACAACTTTGGCAAAATCAGTGTTCAAAGAAGTAAAAGAAAGAAAGCTTTATGATATAGTAGCATGGGTTTGTGTTTCTAATCATTTCGATGAGAAAGACATTTTAGGAGGAATGCTGGAATCTCTTGATAGAACTGCAGGGAGAAAAGACACCATTGAAGCAATACTTCGCCATCTTGAAAATGAGATAGAAAAGAAAACTTTCCTTCTCGTTCTTGATGATGTGTGGAATGAAGAATCTATCAAGTGGGGTAACTTCCTCGATCGCTTGTCCAAAATTGTGAAAACAACTGGAAACTCTATTATTGTAACAACTCGCAGTTGTGGAGTAGTATCTGCAATAGAGACAGCTCCTGTGCCTCATGTGCTTCCTATGCATAAGCATGAAATGAAAGGGTTATCAGATGATGAATGCTGGTCTATAATTGAGGAGAAAGTGCATAAATTTCCAAGAAGACTAGAAGATGCTAATTTAAAAGATATTGGGCAAGATATTGCAAGAAAATGTAAGGGCTTGCCATTGGTTGCAAGTGTATTGGGAGGAACAATGGGACGCAAGTTTGGAGTAGAAGAGTGGTTGGCTATCAAGAATAACAATGCATGGAATTTACAAGACGATCAAAAGATTGCACCAATTCTAAAGATAAGCTATGACCGTTTGTCTGGGCCTCTAAAGAAATGTTTTGCTTTTTGTTCAATTTTTGAAAAAGATACTATTATGAAGAAAGATGAATTAGTTCAGCTCTGGATGGCAGAAGGATTCCTGCACCCACCTAATGATGAAAGTAATTCAACAATGGAGGATATTGGTGATATGTACTTTGATGATTTGTTATCCAATTCCTTGTTTCAAGATATAAAAAGGAATGCAATTGGGAGTGTGAAATCTTGTAAGATGCATGATGCAGTGCACGATCTTGCATTGTCTATCTCTAGTGGTGAAACATTGATTTGGGATCAAACTGGTTCCATTGATGAAAATTCTAAAATTCGGCATTTGAGGGTCAAGTCTAATGGGGGAGTGCTTCCAAGAGGAGTCTCTGAAAAGTTGCATTCTTTGTTCTTAGATGCTAAGTGTGTTTTCCACAACATTGCCTCAAATGTTTTTCTCCACGACATTGCTTCAGATCTTAAAAGCTTGCGTTCTCTTACAATGTTGAGAGCTTGCAGAGAAGAAGATCTATCAATTTCTCTTGGCAAGATGAAGCATTTGAGGTATCTTGATATCTCAACCAGTCAAATTAAAGTACTACCAAAATCCTTCTTTAAACTCTACAACTTGCATACTTTAAAGCTAATGTGGTGCAATCATCTCGAGAAGGGCCCCAATGACATGAGAAATTTTGTTAGCTTGAGGCATCTTTATTTCAGTAGTGAAAAGAATATGCCAAAGGAGATTGGGCACTTGACTTCCCTTCAAACATTGCCACTATTTGTTGTGGGAAGAGAAAAGGGATATAGAATTGAAGAACTTGGATGCTTAAGCCAATTGCGTGGGAAATTGGCCATTCAAAAACTTGAAGCTGTAGGATCCAAATCAGAAGCCTCTAAAGCAAAATTAAAAGAAAAGAAAAAATTGCAAGGGTTGAAATTGACATGGCATGCAGAGAGAGAAGTTAACAACAACATCAACGATGAAGAGGTTCTAGAAGGTCTTCAACCTCACCCAAATTTGAAGAGCTTAGTTATTTGGAATTACCAAGGAAGGAACTTCCCATCATGGATGCAGGGTGGTGTCAATAGTTCACTCAACAACTTAATGAAGTTGAAGCTACAGTATTGCGAGGAATGCTTATATCTTCCGAGCCTTAGTTTATTGCGTTATCTCCAGTTTCTTGAAATTGAGGAGATAAAGAAGGTAAAAAGCATGGGTAGCAAGTTCTATGTGGATCAAAGCAATAGTGATGATGGAGTGGGATCGACTACACAATTCCCAGCTTTAAGAGAATTCAGTGTTGCATGTATGGATAGCCTTGAGGAATGGGTAGAAGTAAAAGGTGTGACTGTGTTTCCTTGTCTTGAGAGGTTGTATATTAAGGATTGTCCTAAGTTGAAGACTTGGTCGATGGATGGATTTTCATCTAATCATAAGCTGTCTTCTTTGACAATAATTGGATGTCACAAACTAATTGTTATACCAAGTATGGACGGGCTCATATCTCTTATAAGCCTTCTGCTTTATGATTGTGATAAATTAATGAGTCTACCAAATGAATTGGGATCCTGCACTTCTCTTCAAAAGTTGACCATTTCTAGATGCAAAAAACTGTCTTCAATTCCAAGTATAAATGGGCTCACATCTCTGACAAGCCTTTGGCTTTCTGATTGTGATGAATTAATGAGTCTACCAAGTGGATTGGGATCCTGCAC